ATCATCATCTTGATGGTCACCACGAGCCATTGTGCTACAATAAGAACAAAAACACGTTAGCGTGAAATGAAAACACAGCCGACAGATGCGGACAGAGATGCACGAAGTAACGATTCACTAGATATCATTGATAAACAAAAATGAAAACTGCCATGGTTACCCCAAAGTTTTAGCATCTGAAAAAGGAAGTAACTGCCATGTGCCGAACATGCACAAATAGGCAGAAAAATAACCAACTTAAAAAGCAAATGCAGAAACATGGCAACTGGATATGTGTGTGCTTCTTAAGGAAGCAGTTGCCATGTAGCAGAATCAAGTTGCCATGTTGGCGCTATTAAAAGTGGCAACTGAGGCAGTACAAAGGAGCACCCAACTAGGATTGTCCAACATGTAATGTGGCAACTAACACATTGGCTTCATAAAAGTACAGGTCACATCTACTAGGTTCAAGTTGCCATGTTAACAAATAAAAGATGTGGCAGCTAAGGCACTTCAAATAGGACACACAACTTCCAGTCTACAACACATAATGTGGCAACTCACACCCTGGCCTCGTAAAAAATGAGTTGCCATGTAATGCAATCAAAAAATGTTGTGCTATCACAAATCAGCATGGCAACATAGTGAGTCTATTGTACAGTCAAACTGCCATTACTCTGCATATGACATGGCAACTGGCATAGTTGATTCACAAAATTAGTTGCCACTTAGAGGATAGTTGTAGGTAAACAAATGCAATGAACTGCCGTGACTAACATTATCACACACTTAAATATGCAACTACCTAGATATAGAAATCATACACAAAAATTACTCATTGACTTGGATCTCATAAACTGACATTATCTTACATATGACATGGCAACTGACATAGTTGATTCAGAAAATTAGTTGCCATCAGTGATGATAGTTGGGGACAAAACAAGGGTGTTGAAATTGCCATGACTGTCATTATCCTACACTTTGAAATGCACCTAACTAGATCTAGGGTTCATTCACAACTATCATACCCTGGATTCAACAACGAAAAACACCCTAAAAACAGTGATGACCATAGCCTCGAGGCAAATCAGAACTAACAACTAGAAATCGCTTGCACAGGCAAATGCAGGAACTAATCTCACGTATATACAGATGTGGTTGCCGACCAGGCGAGCCTCACCGGCATGACTACCACCGCGACGGCGACGAAACTGCGCAATGCCGCCCTAAATGGCAAACACGCGACTCCACCGCCGACGGGGACACCAGAGCGCCGCAAATCCGCCGGAATCTCGAGAATACTCGAGGGGAATGTGACCACAGAGGGAGGGGACAGATTTCACAGGGAGGAATGTGACAAGCTTCGATAGCCTTACCTTCTCACCGCGGCTAGTCCGGTGAACCCCAGCAACGGTCGCGAATGCCATCGACTCTTCCGCCGCCGCCTCCTCCTCCTCCTCTTGTCTCCTCCTCCAATCGAATGGAATTGCTATGGATAGTGGGTTGGGGATAAATGAATGCGAAGGGGAGCAAAGAAACCACATCGAGAGGAGGGAATGGCGAGTCGTGGGAGACGGCAACCGAAGTCGTGCGCGGCGTGCGGGCGCGACGGCAGTTCCACCTTATGCCCCGACTCGCAACTGCTGTCGTCCGAGGAAGAAATGACGTGCGGGCGTGTTAGAAGGGAGAGAGGGATTTGGTGAAATTGTTCATTGTATTGCCTGAGCCTCGTGGGCATATATATAGGAGTACAATCATCTACTTGGAGTACAAGACAAGCCAGAACAAATCCTAGTCTATCTCGTCTTTCCTAATAAACATTATACTCAACATCCCCTCGTAGTCACAACGGTAGCGACGCAGACGGTGAGACTGGAGAAGAATCCGAAGGCAAGCCGACGGACACCCCCCCCACAGTCGTAACGGTCGACGCATCGCGGAGTCGTGGCTGGAGTGAAAACCAACGAGGTTGCTCAAGGAGGCGGTAGCCCTTTGTGTCGTTGGTCGATGTAGCCGAGAGCGTGGGTGGTGGAGCCGTGGTCGAGGTAGCCGTGCGAAGAATGCCATGGTCGATGTCGAGTCGGGGTGGCCGGTGTCGCGTAAGTCGCCGTGGATCCGCGGGTGCAAGGGGGCACCAAGTTAGCATGGGCGCAGTAGTGTCGAAGAGTTGTGCGCCGGGGAGAAGACGGTGTTGACGAGGCGTCGCGCCGGGGTTGCCAAACCTGGGTACACATCATAGACGAAGGCACGCGTCGATGTTGCCAGCACCGGGCATGCGTAGACGGTCGAAGACGAAGTTAACGAAGCACCGCACCAGGCTTGCCAGGCCCGGGGACACGTCGTGGACGAAGGCACGCGACGGTGTTGCCCGCATCAGGCATGCGTAGACTGGGACCTACACGAGCTGTACGCCATGTTGAAGAGGTCGGAGAGGCCAGGAGAGAAGGACTCGACGACGGTTGCGGCGCCAATCGGCGCGGGGCCAATGTCGTCTGCGGTTGTCAGAGTAGATGAAGCGGTCGGGGTAGATGACGGCGACGCTGGCGATGAGCTGGTGCTGGACGAAGACGAAGGGGGTGGACGGGCGGTGGCGGCTATGGAGGTAGCGGCGGCGGCGGCCAAAGAAGAGCGACGGCAGCAGCCTGACGACGGCGGCGGCGGCTAGGTTAGGAGTGCGGCGGCGGTGCTCAAAGCAGGCGAAAAACCCTGACAGCGTGACGAAGACCGGCGCGGACGGTGGCGTTCCCGCGCCAAGGAAGACGGCGCGACGCATACCACAGGAGGTCGACGCACGGTGACGGCGGAGCGGACCGCGGGCCGCGGCGCTACGGCCTGAAGGTGCGACGCAGCGGCGACAGGCGGGTCGGGGCGATGGCGGGAAGACCTCTGGGCGGCGGGGACCGCGGGCCCCGACGCTGCGCCCCGAAGGGGCGACACAACGGCGGTTCGCGAGTCGATGCAACTGCGGGGATGGCCTCGGGGCGGCGGGAGGGACCGCGTATCGCGACACTACGGCCCGAAGGGGCGACGCAGCGGCGGCGCTGCGGCCCGACGGGGTGACGCAGCGGCAGCCCGATGCTCTGTCGGTGGAGAGGCGCGCTGAACTCGGGGACGATCTTCACGGGACCTGTGGAGGCGCGCGTAACCGACGGGCCAGGTCAGTCGAGTGGCGTAGGTGAGGCGGATCGCGGCGGCGAACGGGTGATCAAGCCGATCGCGCGTGAGGTCGGGGACGCCGCTCGATGGAGGGGTGGTGGCGGCGGAGTGAAGCTGGCGACGACGGACGGCGTGGGACGTCGTGCGGACGAGCTTGTCAGCACCAACACCCAGGCTGCCAAAGCAACACCGGCACCCGGGCAGCGAGGCCCGAGCGACCAACAGAGCAGCGGCGCCCGAGTTGAGGCAGCCGACGCAGCCGTCCCGCTGCAGCTGAGGAGGAGGCCGGCGAGGTAGACCGCCAGGCCGCCATGCAAACGCGGCGGAGGCGAGTGATGTGGATCCATGGGCGGGCCGGCGCGCGAGCGACGACTATGATTGGTCGTCGCATGGCGCAAGGCCGCCGGGTCGGGGCGATGCAGGTGTCCCGGTCGGAGCAAGACGGTGACGGACAGACCGACGCGCGGACGGCGGCTGGCCTTGACGGGCCGCCTCGGTCGCGTGGCCGTCGAGTCGGAGGAGAGGCCGGTTGGTCACGCCGGGGTCGGAGTAGAGGCGCTCGGGGTCGATGGCGGCGGTGGGTGACGCAAACCGGTCAAGAATAGATCAGAAAACCAAAAAGAAACCGCGCGATCAAGATAACCGACGGGGAGAGAGAAAACCTCAGAGCAAGGCTCGGAGAAAAGACTCTCTAGGACAGTCGGTCAACATGACCGGCGGACAAACCATAGGTACAAGCAGCACGGCCCCCGGTGGCGGTCATGGAGGCCGACCGCCCCGGGGGCGGCGCGCGGGCGCGGTAGCGGCGGCGGCTAGGGTTTAAGATCGACTTGCGATAGATACCATGTTAGAAGGGAAAGAGGGATTTGATGAAATTGTTGATGTATTGCTTGAGCCTCGTGGGCATATATATAGAAGTAAAATCATCTACTTAGAGTACAAGATAAGTCAGAACAAATCCTAATCTATCTTGTCTTTCCTAATAAACATTATATTCAACAAGGCGAACTAACTACACACCATCGGCCCTGTCCTATATGGCACATGAAATCTGCCTTCTAATGTCAAGATTCGTGCAAAATTGAATCGACGGCGATCCAGGTATGTGAACAAACGAGTTAGAGAAGTTGGCACATGAAATCTGCCTCCTAGTGTCAAGATTCATGCAAAATTGAATCAACGGTGATCCAGGTATGTGAACAAACGAGTTAAAGAAGTGCCACACATGTGGGCGGTAGTGTTTCCAAAAAAGAAAACACTGCACTTACGGATGACGTGTGATGAAGCAGCATTTTTTTTTGTGTGTGAGAAAATATCATTCATTCATTTCCAGTTCTTGTCACTGCACAACCCCAGGTACGTCCATTTGTTCGTGCCTAAGTTGATCTCGTTAACTCTGCAGCTTACATGCACAAAAAGAATCACATCTAGCGGTCGAACAAACTGAATTCACGAATCACGAGGAGGAAGTTTCTTCTTTGCATAGTTTCCGGCTGAGGGTGCTGAAGTTGGCTCGCGAGAACTGGCGGGACGCGTTCCTCCAGTCCGCCCCGGACTTCATCATCAGCTCGAACTCCTGGTAGCTGATGCGTCCGTCCCGGTCGGTGTCGACGTCGCGGATGATCTCGAGGATGGCCTGCTCGTTGGGTCCCAGCTCCTGCCGGAGCTCGTCGATCTCGATGAAGCCGCTGCCGTCCTTGTCGAAGTAGCGGAACGCCGCCGCCAGGTACTTCTCGTTGGTCATCTTCTTGAGGTGCAGCGACACCGTGACGAACTCGTCGCAGTCCAGCGTCCCGTTGCCGTCCGTGTCCGCGGCCTCGAGCAGCATCCTGATCTCCGACTCCGGCACGCGCTGGCCGTTGATGTGGAGGCCCTCCACGAGCTCCTCCAGCGACAGGTTGCCGTTCTTGTCCTTGTCCATGAGATGGAACATCTGCACGTACTTGTCCAGCTCCTCCACCGGCATGTTCCGCGCCACCACGCCCAGCGCCTTCTTCTTGAACTTGTTCATCGCCGAGAACTGCTGCAGCCGAGACCGCACCGCCTCGCCCAGCGACACGTTCGGCGCCGTCTCCGCGTTCTTCAGCCACGGGTGCTCTGCCAATCACAAACACAATGCCTGCGTTAGTTCTACGTCCATCCACACCACGTGCTAATCAGTAGAAGTGCAATGGTGCGGTACCAAGAACTTGCGCGGCCGTGAGCCGGGCGGCGGGGTCGGGGTCGAGCATCCCCCTGATGAGGTCCTTGGCGTTGCCGGACACCCTGGGCCAAGGCTCCCGGTTGAAGTCGAGGCCGCCGCGGATGATGGCCTGCGCGATCTTCTCGTCGTTGTCCCCCCAGAAGGGCGGCACACCGCAGAGGAGGATGTAGAGGATGACGCCGGCGCTCCACACGTCCACCTCCTGCCCGTAGTTGCGCTTGAGGACCTCGGGGGCCATGTAGTAGGCGCTCCCCACCACCTCCGTGAAGCGATCGCCGGGGTTGAAGAACACCGAGAGGCCGAAGTCGATCACCTTGAGGGGGGCGTCCTCGGATTTGTTGGCGAACAGGAAGTTCTCCGGCTTGAGATCACGGTGGATCACCCCGTTCGAATGGCACAACTGCGTTCGAATGGAAACTTAGTTCGTCGCCTTCGTTGCGAGATTGGTGCGCAAGAACGTTGATCGAGAAGCGTGTTGAGGTGTTCTTGAACGAATCTTGCATGCGGGTTGCGTACCTGGATGACGTTGACGATGGTGCGGAAGATCTTGGCAGCGGCTCGCTCGGAGTAGTGGCCGCGGGCGACGATGCGGTCGAAGAGCTCGCCGCCCTCGCAGAGCTCCATGACGAGGTGCACGGAGCCTTCCTGGTCCTCGCGGGCCTCTCGCAGCCGCACAACGGCCGAGCCACCGCGGGCTGACATGCGCCGCATGATGGCCACCTCCCGCCGCACGTCGGCCGCGTGCGCCGCCGCGGCGGCGGCGGCGGCTCTCGCGGCGGCCTCCGCGCCCCCGCCACCCGCGGCCTTGCGGTTCGCCCCGCGGCCGCCCCGGCGGCGGTGCCTCCGGATGGTCTTGCACGCGAGCGCCTCGCCCGTGGCGGCGTCCTTGCAGCGGCGCGTCACCCCGAACTCCCCGCGGCCGAGCTCCTTCCCCAGCACGTAGCGCCGCCCGAACTCCGCGGACGTCATCTTGGCCACGAGCTCCTCCTCCTCGGTGCCGCCGGCGGGGCCGTCGCCATTGTTGCGCCTGGAGCTGCCGTGGTCGCTCTTCTTGGAGGAGCGGTCCGAGCCCGCGCGGGCGCTGCTGGTGCTGGCCCCGGAGGCGGCGGCGGCGTCGCGTTCGGTGACGGGGAGGACGAAGGAGAGGTTGCCGAGGCGGCCGCGCAGCTTCCGCGAGCAGGCGTAGGCGGAGTAGCAGCCCCCCATCGAGCCACCTCCCTCGCCGAGCCCGCCGCGAAGGCGCTCCTGCCCTGCACTGCCCCCTCTCTTCCCCTCTCCCTGCCTTCCTCGCGTCGGGGCCGCGCGTGGGCGTGCCGCGTTTGTTGGCGCGTCGACGGGGGGTCAGCCGTGTCCCGCGCTGCGGCTCGCCGCGAGATCCTGCATGGCCGCCTCTATTCGTGGCCGCGGCGGCCCACGCGCGCCCTACTTATGCTGCCCGCGGGACGGGACGGGTGTGTACAGGTTGGAGTGCGGAACGCGGTGTCACCCGGGGGGAAAGGGAGAGTTAATACGCGCCACGATCGTGGCCGCGTAGGGCTGCGTGCCGCGCCATCTACGGCTGCTAGACGCTGCACGTGGCAGCTGCGCCATATACCCGAGAGAACCGACGGCTGTAGAATGTTCGTGCGCACTGATACCTGTCACGTTTCCTTTGTCCTTGGCAACAAGATTCCATCGGGTTTGTGCTGTGAAGCAACGCGGGAGACGGTCTGGACGGTCGGATGCTGTGCCGTTGGGGAAGCCGGCTGGCCGTGCAAAGATTGCTTGTTCCACCGTTCATTTTACTCCCTCCGATCTGAAATATAAGTCTTTTTAAAAAATCTACTATAAACTACATACGAAGCAAAATAAATAAATCTACACTCTAAAATATATCTATATACATCTGTATGTATTTGTAGTAAAATCTCTAAAAAGAGTTACATTTAGGAACAGAGGGAGTACACGGCACCGAGAGACAAGTACGCACAGCGAAAAGATGGCACCTTGTCAAATGGAACAAGATTTGTTGGTCTAAAGAAAAAGGGAGTTTGGGAGTAAACGATCTTAGAAACAAAATATAAGTCTTATGGTCAAATGGTGGTGGAAAAGACTCAAAATGATGTGGCACAAGACATTGTGAAGGGCAGATACCTAGCTAACAAGACTGTGGCTACAGTGAGTTCCAGATTTTCAGACTCCCCTGTTAAGCTCTTCTGAAAATCAAAGACTTATTATACTCCCTCCGTTCCTAAATATTTGTCTTTCTAAAGATTTTAACAAATGACTACATACGAAGCAAAATAAGTGAATCCACCCTCTAAAATATGTCTATATACATCCGTATGTGGTAGTCCATTTGAATCTCTAAAAAGACAAATATTTAGGAACGGAGGGAGTACATGATTTGTACAAAAATTAAAGTTAAATCTGGGACTTAGCTAGAGTTGGAAGTACTCCATCGATGGGCTAACCCTATTTTGTGTCCAATTTCCTCAACTTTTTTGATATCTGTGTTGAATAAGATTGTAGTGTTAGTAAATTTTATACTGTTGACACATGTATCTTGTTTCGGAGAAGACTCAACACAGATATGTTGGGGCGGTGGTAAACTTTATGTGAATGTATTTCTAACATTCAATTATTTGATGAGAAAGACAGTGTAAACTGAGGGTTAAACAAGACAGCTTGTTACACAACCAAATCCATGTATAAGTGGTTAGAGAAACCTCCTAGAGGATGCAATTTCAAATGGATTTGGAAGGCTAAACTACCTCTCAAAATTCAAATATTTCTATGGTAGTTGTATTTAAGACGTTGTGCTTACTCGGCAAGTGATGCAATAAGGAAATTGGTCTGATAATCCTAGTCGTTCCTTCTTTAGAGAACCAGAGTCGTCTCAACATCTTTTCTTCACATGTCCACAGGCTCGGGTGGTCTGCCAATCCATCGGAGTGGTGCTTGGGACTGACTTGTGTCCGAACAATTATTGGCAGTATTTTGCATGGTGCTACACTTTTCTCCCTTGTGGGGAAAAGTTTTATACTATTGGCTTAGCGACTATATCTTGGGACACTTGGTTAGCTCAAAATCGAGCCACTTTTGAGGAAAAAACTGATGAAAACTCCTTTTGAGATCGTTTTCTCCATGTGATCCTTCTTATTGTATTGGTCACGTCTCCAGCAGGGCGAAGATGTGGTAAAACTTTGTTCTGGTGTTGAGATAATCAGATCAAGCACGGTGAACTTGATGAGGATCTGCAATGCGTCCAGGCAGCCGATAGCAAGGGAGTGAAGAAGGTTGCAGGTCCATGGTGCTATGCACTTGAAGTTAGCTGATCGTGATAGTCTCCCTTGATTTGGATCGAGTGATTCGCCCTTGATTTATGTCAGTTATGATTTGATCAATGAGATGATTTTTGTTCACTCCAGCTCGAACTCGTGATAGTCTCTTGGGGGGTTGAGCTTCCTCTTCCTCTTCTTCTTGATCATCTTGTGCTTGAGATGAAGGCAAAGGAGGTTGATGACGATCTTGTTGAACTTATTCTTATTGTCGAATGCCACTTGTGGAATCCGATTCATTGCCTTGAAGTAGCGGGCCCCACTTCAGTAGAAGGAGCACTTTTTTTTTATTTCCACGGGTTTTCACATTCCCAATAGCTAAGTCCTTTGAAAGGATCGATATAGTTGACTAGAGGGGGTGAATAGGCAACTAACAATTTTTAGCTTTTCTTTAACAATTTAAACTTTGCATCAAAGTAGGTTGCCTAGATATGCAACTAGGTGAGCAACCTATATGATGCAGCAAGGATAGGAACACAAGCAAGCAAGAGATATAACACAAATAAGCTTGCACAAGTAAAGGCACGAGATAACCAAGAGTGGAGATGGTGAAGACGAGGATGTGTTACTGAAGTTCCTTCCCGTTGAAGGGAAGTACGTCTCCGTTGGAGCGGTGTGGAGGCACAATGCTCCCCAAGAAGCCACTAGGGCCACCGTATTCTCCTCACGCCCTCACACAATGTGAGATGTCGTGATTCCACTATTGGTGCCCTTGAAGGCGGCGACCGAACCTTTACAAACAAGGTTGGTGCTCTCTCCACAACTTAATTGGAGGCTCCCAACGAAACCACGAAGCTTCACCACAATGGAATATGGCTCCGAGGTGACCTCAACCGTCTAGGGTGCTCAAACACCCAAGAGTAACAAAATCCACACAAGAAATTATGCGGGAAGCAATTATCCTTTGGTGGGAGTGTAGATCTAGGTCTCCTCCTTCAATCCCTAGCAAATCAACAAGTTTGAGTGGCTATGGAGAGAGATCAGGCAAGAGAGCTTGAAGTGCATTAATGGTGGAGTAAGAGAGGTCAAAGGTGAGAGTGGTAGTGGTAGGTGGGAGAAAGACTCTTATATAGCAACCCTAAAAATCCAGCCGTTGCTGCGTTTTCAGCCCCGTAGCGGTACAACCGGTCCTTGTCCCGGTACAACCGGGACTCACGGTGTAGCTGCAGAACCCTACCAGGCGGTATAACCGGGCCACTGGGCGGTAGTACCGGTTAAGAAAAATGACCGGACCAACCGCCCAACCACCGCACAACTACCGCCTCAGAACAGAGACGAGACCGGTACTTGAGCGGTGCAAGACCGGAACAACCGCATGGCCTTGAGCTCTTGGACGGCGAAGTTCTGAGCGGAAGAACCGCTCAGACCACCGGTGGTACCGTTCAACGAGGATCGACCGGATCAACCGGGCCACCACCGCTCGAGAACCGCATCAAAACAGAACCTTGAGCGATACTTGAGCGGTGCATGGCCGGAACCACCGCCCTAGCCTTTGTTGAGCAAGGTGGCGGTACCACCACCCAGAGGCAGCGGTACAACCGCTCGGTAAAAGCTGGAGAGCGACAAGGTCCAGCGGTACAACCACTCCAGGGGGCGGTACAACTGGTGGGAAGAGCAGAAAACAAAAGGAAAGATAGGGGGAACACTCTCTTTCACAACTGAGGAAGACAAATGAGGGGAGAGGAAAGTGTACGTGAAAAGATTCCCCCAGAGCTTCCTAATGAGGATTCCCTCTTGATAGTACGGGAACTCTACGACCAAAGAAAATAAAAGCGTAGAGGACACGTCTCTGATCTTTTCCTACGAGAGGCAATAGAAATCCGATGTAAGCCTAAGCATCGAGAACCTGA